GATATAATTGGTTAATTATACACCTGACTCTAATCATACAAGATCCCTGACTTAGTGCAAGTGTACAAAGTGTGCAAGTGTAAGAATTAATGGTGGTTTGAAGCCAAAGGGTAGTCACACCAAATATTAATTTGATTTAGATTTCTCTTCTGTTCGCTCACTTTGCATTTTGTAAATTGATAAACATAAACAGTTACAATATATATTTTTGAAAGCATTGTTACATTACAGCATTTTTTCACAATGCTGCCTAAAACTTTTGCACAGTACTGTATGTGTAAAATAATGAAATAAATACATAAACATCTGATAAGTGTTTATGGAAGCTTGAAGATCATAGTATTTATCCTGCAAAACTTCAATGGAAAGAATTCATATAATATGGAAAGAGAAAATAATCTGTCAAGGGTTTTTTGCATTATTATTACTATTGTTGTTGTTGTTACTGTTATATATTCATGTTCCTTATCACTTGCAAAAATGACTTTTACTTTGTTGGAATCTTATTTTACACATACTTTAGGGGCCAAACTTCAGTTCTAGTGTATTCCTAACCAGTACCCCACCACCAATCCATTAGTCTTTACTATATCTAAAGGTTCAGTTATCCATCTATTACAGATAGTGTTTCTCCCAGAAATTGACCCCCCAGTCTGTTCCCTCAAGGGACCAAAGATTCAGCTATACCAGCTGCATTTAAAGGATATTTCTGTCTTGAAACAAAGAGAATTCCAATTCTTTTGCATGTAGAATTTAAACATTTTCATGTACATCTGCACTTATTTATGAGTGATATTTTTTTAAAACGTTACCAATACTGACAAGTGATTAATTGTGTTAGTACTGAATGAATTTATATTTTAACCTTCTGATACAAGGAAGATGATATGCAATAAGATAGATAAGCTACTTCATATATATTGGTAACATAAACTGTAAAACAGGGCATCTGAATGTGGTGCACCTCTAACTTCTAAATATTTCAGTAATGCACACATTCAGACACAAACTTCAATCTGCATTTTCTCTGTTTAGATAAACTGTATGGCCCTTTGCCCACCCAGTGTGAATCACCTTGAATGCAAAATAGCATGAATGCACATTCAGATATTCATCAGGCTCATAGCCCATGTCATAGTGTCAATATGTCTGTATTTCTGGTTTCCTTGATCAGGGTACAGACTTGGAAAGTCACATCACATTTAAATGTAGAGTGGAAAGGCATGCTAGCAGAAATGAAAGTTGTTTCTTGATAAATGAATTTATGAATATCCTGGTTGGAGAGTCAGCAGAAAATCCAGGAAAAATATAGCTTAATGCATGATACATTCCGTAGAGAAAATAGTTATTTGTGCTGTGTATAGCTCTTTTTGAGACAGCTTGACATTCCCATTTTTCTTACAAAGCATGAAGAATAAGTTCACACACTGAACCTAACCTGCTAAGGATTTCTCAGATACCTGAATTAAGCCCCTGTAAATGCAGAGTTGTGAATGCAGTTTTTCTTGTAATAATAAAAAAGTTGCAATCCCTTCATCACTCATTTGTGCATAGATATACTTGCATGTCTTCAAGTAAGTCACTTAAAAATATATTTGTATTCAAAGTTCAATATAAAAGTTTTTATCACTGAATTCAAATAAAGGAAAAGGAATACCACTTGAAAATGAAGTTTGAAACATGTAGCAATGATAAATTAAAATGGATTTGTGCATATACAGTGATGCTTAGAAGTTTGTGAACCCTCTTGAATTTTCAGTATTTCTACATAAATAAGACCTAAAATGATCTGTTTTCCACACAGGTCATAAAACTAGATAAAGAGAACCCAGTTAAACAAATGAGTTAAAAACATTTTACTTGTTCATTTATTTATTGAGGAAAATGATCCAAAGGAACATATTTGTGCATGGCAAAAGTATGTGAACCTTTGCTTTCAGTAACTGGTGTGCCCCCCCTTCCCAGAAGCAATCACTGAAACTAAATGTTTCCATTAACTGTTGACCAGTCCTGCACATTGGCTTGGAAGAATTTTAGCCCATTTCTTCTTACAGAACAATTTAAACTCAGGGATATTAGTGGGCTTCCTTGCATGAATTGCCCATTTCAGGTCCTTCCACAATATTTCTATAGGATTAAAGTCAGGACTTTGACTCGGCGATTCCAAAACATTAAATTTCTTCTGCTTAAACCATTCTTTGGTTGAACAAATTGTGTGTTTTGGATTGTTGTCTTGCTGCATGACCCACTTTCTCTTGAGCTTCAGTTCACGGTCAGATACATTTTCCTGTAGAATTTGCTGGTACAATTCAGAATTCATAGTTCCATCAATGATGTCAAGCCGTCCTGGTCCAGAGGCAGCAAAACAGGCCCAAACCATGATATGCTCCATTTTTACATAATCTGCCTAACAGTGGACTGATAAAGTTCAAACTCTTTGGAAATAGCATTGTATCCTTTTCCAGCCTGGTGAGCATCAACAATTGTTTTTTTGGAGGTCGTCAGAAATCTCCTTCATTCAAGCCATGAGACACTTCCACATACCTGTGTTGTGAAGGTCAGACTTTGATCATGAATACCCAGAATTCTATTCCTCCCACACTCACACCTCATAATCATCTCATTGATTGAAACACCTGACTCTAATCTCCCCTTCAAATGAACTAATAATCCTAAGGTTCACAACTTTTGCCACACACAAATATGTCCCTTTGGATCATTTTCCTTAATATATAAATGAACAAATATGTTTTTGACTGGGTTTAACTGGGTACTCTTTATCTAGTTTTAGGATTTGTGTGAAGAATATATGTTTTAGGTCATATTTATGCAGAAATATTTAAAATTCAAATGGGTTCACAAACTTTTAAGCATCACTGTATTTAAACATTTTATGAAGAGGAAAGTTGGAGACAATTACAGAGTACTTTGTTTAGATGCTGGGTTAAAAGAAAAAGATTGATGTAAAAATGTAATTTATGTAAAAAAGCAGCATTATTAAAGTTTCATTATTCAACTACAAATAATTGTAATCATTTGTTTATTATAACTTTCCCTGGATAGAGGAATTTATATTAGCTTTGGATGGGTCTGGAGGTTGTAATAATGAATAGAAATATACATACTGAATTGGTATATGCCAGGACCTTGGCCAGAACAGACCAAATAATTTGATGAAAATATAACTCTATACATTTATTATCTGAAGAATTTTGTAGATACATAAATAACAGCATTATGTACTAAAAATAGATAAAAGGTTTTAAAAAACTTTCTTATATGTAATGTTACTAATTTTAATTTTTAAATTCCAGAACTTTATGGAATCTGAAGTAACACTTTTCGAAACTGATGAGGAAAATGGAAAAATACTGGATGTTGTAAATCAAGAAATTCCTGATTTGGAATGGGCAGGGTTTGGCCTAGTGACTAGATCAGTTAATGTGAAAAGTGGAGTGTAAGTTGGATTTCAAATCTTGGTGCAGTACGAAATCCCTGAATTCTCTATTTTATCATTTCTTTTCAGTCTTAACTCCATAGAAAAGTTAAATGAAAAGTTATAAGTAATTAAAGGTACAGTTTCTTCAGTCAAGCTTGACTTCTAGCGGCTATATGGACATAACCACACAGTTTGTTTGCTAAGGGTACAAAGTGGTTTGCTACTGTCTTCTGCAGGAATATTTTTCAACTTCCCATTCTAATCTAAATGGATTACTTCGGATGTGGAGTGGGGGATGCCTCTCATCCAGGCCTGGAAACACCTTATATATCATAGAAGCACCATGTACAGGATGTGTTATATTTCAGTAAAGTCTTCTCAAGTGTAGCTTGGCTCCTGGTGACTACATGAACATGTCATGTTGTTTTCTTGGTAACACTAAGGAATTGATTTGTCACAAACAATGGGTTGTGTCTTCAACTTTCCAGTCTGGACCCCTGAGATTCATATTACATTATGCCTAGAGAGCCAGAATTGGGATGGATCAGCCATTCCTTTTCCAAGATGAAATAAGAGTTTAGCAAGGAACTTTTATGGGCAACCTGGGTAAAGCTTTAATGAGATGCATTTAAAACCTTTTTTTAAAATCCATGAACAGATGAAGAATTCAGTGTTCTTTTAGAGCGTTTTATGGATTACTAATATATATTTGACTTGTCTTAAAAATTTCTGTTGTGTGTTATATCTAGGTGGGTTGCTTATCAACAGAAGTACTTCTGTGGAGAACAGTATATATTGGAGAAAGGAAAATATAAGTGTTTTTTGGACTGGGGTGGCCCTAGTGAAACTATTACGTCAATTCGGCCCATTAAATTGGTAAGCTATCACAATTGCTGAAAAAAGGTATGCAATCAACTAAAAGTTATTTCATAGTAATATTTGTAAACCAATAAAACAAATATTTTATCACAATCAGTGCTGAAGAGTTAAAACTGTCCCATACAAACATAAACTCTTTGTGCTATGCATGAAATTCTGGTTTCCTATTCTTTTAAATGTATTTACAATATATTCCTGTAAATCTGTTAGGATTTTTATTATTGCTTCCTAACTTCGTGAAACTAAAAAAATATCCACAATTAATAAGTTACTATGGAGACATTTTAAAGAAGAGAAAACATAAATTTGTAACAAGGTTCATACAAAAAGCATTATTTGAAATAGAATAAAACATATAAACTTGTACCCAAGGATATGTATGAATCCATCTTTATGTTCTGTTTATAGAAATCCATTTAAATAGGAAGCTGTTTGAAATACAGTCAGCTAAGTCAGCTTATAAAAGGCATATTCATTTTCTCAGTTATCCTAGCTAACTGTAATTCAAACAGCTTCCAACTCATTTTTTTATCTATGAAGTCAGCTTCAATTATTTTAAATGTACTTGAAACATTCTTAATTCCTCAGTATTTAGAGAACCTTCACAAAGCCATTAATAGCTATGGCAGCAAAATACTCTCTTAGCCCACCAGGAATATGCAATAAAGATTTGATTGGAAAATGTTCAAGCTTGATCTTTTTGAGCTGTTCTCTCTGGAAGCTTAGGATTTCTTTAATAACATACTCCTGTGTGTATTTTGCATATACTTTTTTTCTTTTTGCAGGAACCATTGGGAGATCATCAACCCATACACTGGGTAAGTTCTTGTAATAAAGTATTACTCATTGTGGTGAAGGGAAAACACCAACCTCATTGTGAGTAAGCCACAGCAGAGTATGAATGTGCTGGAAAGCCTTGGAGGGAAGGAAGGGGACAGAGAATACTCAACTAAGGACTTGCTTATATGCTCACAGCTGAGGATGCAAGACTTACTGAGACTGTTGGTACAAGAGCAGGAGAACAAGCCTCAAGCTGCTGCTGTCTGTTCAGTTTACTTCCTTGGCTAGATGTTGAATTTTGAATATTACTTTGAGTTCTTGGCTTGGACTGCTAAGGAGCAGTGGAATAGATCCCATTGCAGCCATTCTGTAAGCCATGATGTACCTGCAAGAGGCTCAGGATGACGAAGAACAATGCTGGTGGGACAAGCATACCGAGATCATCAGGAAAGTTTTGCCAGAGAGGAAAGAGCCTGCTATGAGCAAAGGCATCAGAAGCAGGTGTCAGCTATTTTGGAGCTCTGCAGACAGGATATCTTTGCCTTTCTCAAATTAGAGGAGAGTCCTCAAGAAGCCTTGAACTGGATCAGAGAGCTTGCCAGGAAATGGCTGTTTCCTGAAATATTTAATTAAATACAGACTTCCCAAGAAGTGTTTGAGTATATAGTCTTAGAGCAGTTTGTTACTATCCTGCTTGAAGCAGTATACTGCTGGGTTCTAAAACACCAACTGGACAGGTGGAGCCATTTTGTTAAATGAATCTCTGTAAGTTTATCTCTAGGCCCCACTGAATCCAAAACTATGGTTTAAGTCCATCTGAAAATTGTAGGATATGAATTTGATTAAGATAACTATATCTGAATTCTAAAGTCTTGGTATGACTAACATATTTGTTATTCTTTTGTGGTATAGTATCTAGCTATATTCTGCTATTATTTTTTTCTTAGCTACAATTTATTAATTTATTAATATTGGAAAGTGGTATGCAGAAATTTCAAAGTTGAAATGTTTCAAATTTCAAACACCCTGTTTCAGGTTCAAAACAGTTTGAACTAAAAGAGGTTTGTTGCAGTTTTATCTGTACCAGAAGTGTTTTGAATTCAAAATGGAACTATTTCAAACTCAGGATGTTTTCAGTATGGTTAGAATGGATTGGAACATTTCTCATGCAGTTTGTACAGTACATTTCACATGCAAAATGTTTCAAATATGAAACATTCTTGCACATCCTAATTTTGGAGGTTTCTTCTCTAAAAATAACTTTTTTAAATGTTATGTTTTATTAATAATTTTTTCTTTTCAACTATAGAGTTTCCTCCCCATTGTAAATGTGGAGGACATTTACAATATCCAAGGATATCAGGCACTTTCATGGTCCATAGATGCATTCTAAGAATTTCTAAAAAGAAACCACCCTTGAGTTTCCTTTTATAGAGGAATTGTCTTGCCTTCTTTTCTGGATGGGCCATGTATTCAGAACAGTCTTAAATTCCACTACCTACTAGACTTGTGAGAAAATGGGATAGTTGAAAGTCCTTTTTTGTTTGTTTGATGTTCTTGCCACTATGGATAGAAGACAAGAATTTTCTTCTGTCAAGCACCCAGAAGTGCTGCATTACCAACTTTATTAGAACTTGGCTTGAACATGTCTACTATTTCTTAATTATAGCATTTACTATTTTCATCAGAATGACAAAAGCAGCATTGTAGCATTCTGCTGCAAGGCACACCTCTTTTGTATGTGTGTGCAAACATTACAACAGATATACAAAAGTGATGTTGCTTTCATCATTCTGCCCCCCCTTGCGTCCTCCTCCGTGGCTGCCACTGGATTTACTGAATCATGTCATAGTTTCTAACAGCAAAAGTCTTGCACATTCTACCAATTTTTAGGCCAGGCATATATGTTGCTGACAAATAGCTTCCTAGAAAACATTAATATCTTCTGAGTCATACCTGGAATATCTAAACCTTAATTAGCAATAATATATCACAATTTTTGCATTTTAGTAAATTCAGACAAAAATAGTCATGCAAGCTGTTGCGTCAACATGAGCATACTTGTTAACGACCCTCTTGGCAGAATCATATATGGAAGATTGATTGATTTACCACATTTCTATCCTGCCACGATCCACTCACAGCTTACATAAAATATAACTTGTTATACTTCAGTTGATTAAGCAATGTCTGAAAAAAGCTCTTACAATACATAGTTTGTTTTCTAGCTGCTTCTTATACATTAATTTTTTATTTCAGTGTTTTGCTTCTTTACAGATCAAAGCTTTCGATAATATACACTTTCAGGGATCATGTATTGATTTTACAACGGAAGTTGCTGATTTCACATCATTCATGCCACGCTCATTTAAGGTTTTACGGGGATGGTGAGCTGATTTAAGCATACTTTTTAAAGCATTTTGAAAAACTATTTTAATCTAGTTCTGCGATTTAGTTCTTATCCGTTTTTAAATTGTTTTGAAAACTGTTTCTCTCTTAAAATAGAAAGAACTGTTAACTCATTTATACAGTTGTTCTTGCATGCAGTTAAATTTGTACCAAGTTTAAGAAGCAGACTGTGTAGTCTTATATATGACCGCTAGTACAAAGCCTAAGCCATAATCAGGCCTGGTGTAACACATAATGTGGTCAGACAGATTGTTAGGCATAACAGAATTTGGTGTTGTCACCACTAGTGCCTTCTGCCTAAACACCGGATTATTTGGTTGATTGATTATGTGCTAAATATGTGCCAATATATCCCTCACTGCTGTAATTGAGTCTGTCCATCTTGCTGCTGGTTGTCATCTTTCCTTCATTTTTCCCAATGTTATGGACTTCTCAAGGAAGCTGGGTCTTTGCATAATGTCTCTAAAATATGATGATTTAAGCCTGTTCATTTGTGCCACTTGTTTTCTTGGCTATCCATAGGGTATTCTCAGGAATCTTCTTCAACAACGAAGTTCAGAAGTGTCAGTATTCTTTTTATCTTGTTTCTTCAAAAAACTTTCACTTCCATAGACTGTCCGAGGGAAAATCATTACCAACACAATTCTGATCTTTGTAGGCATACATCATAGTATATGAATATCTTTTATAAGGCCTTCATTGCTATCCTACCAAATGCTAGTGTGCAAAATATTTCTTGCTTGCTGATTCCTTTATTGTTGATAGTTGGTCCTAAAAAGCAGACACTACCCAGCATTTTAATATTTTCATTGTCAATTCTAAAACTGGTAGCTGTATCTGTTGTCATTAGCTTCCTCTTCTTTATATTTAATCATATTTTCATTGTGCTCCTTTACTTACTAGAGCTTGCAGATGATTTGCATTTTCAGCTATCAGAGGAGTGTCATCAGCATAGCTGATGATGTTTTAATTTAAAACCACATTCATCTTCTTCCACTCCAGCTGCCCTCAGTGTAGATTCAGCACATAGGTTGAATAAATAAGGAGAGAGTGTACAGCCTTGCCAACCTAAAGCCAGTGTCTTTCACCATGTTCCATCCAGATTGTGGCTTCCTATACTGTTATAGGTTACACATGAAGACAGTGAGATGTTCTGGAATTGCCATTTCCCCAAGTACATTCCACAGCTTGAAGGTTTTTCTATAATCAATGAAGCACATATTGACTTATTTTTAGTATTGTTTGGGTTTCTCAGTTACCCAGCTGAATCAGCAATAATGTTCCTCAGTCTTTTCTAAAGCCAGTCTAAACATCTAAAATCTCTCTTTCCATGTAGGGCCCTAACCTGTGTAGGATGATCATAAGCATTATTTTACTAGCATGTGAAAGTAAAGATATTGTATGCTAATTTGCACATTCTGTTAAACCTTTTTATGGCATTAATATGTAGACTGACCTCTTCCAATCTGTTGGCCACTGTGTCATTTTCCAGATTTGCTGGCACAGTTTGCACTGCAGATTCTTCTTCTGTTCCTTACCATATTTCAGTAGGTATTCCATCAATTCCTGCAACCTCTGACCTAGTAAAGGCCAGAGTGCTTAACTGTCTTCATTTTCTAATACTAGAGGTTCTTGTAACCAAAGAATATCTTCTAAGGTGCCTTAGAAGTTGACATATCTGCCATACAGAATTTGTTGTTCTTGAAATCAGTTATTGAAACTTCTTTGAACCAATTATTGCATCAATAATATAGTCAATTTGACTTCTCTGTACTCCATCTAGTGATGTCCATATATATAGGCATTATTTTGGTTGGATGAAGACTGTGTTAGCAATGAAGAAATAATTGGTTTGTCAGAAACTTGTAAGTCGTTCTGCTTTCTTTCCAGTCTAACTACATTTTCCTCCTTACTATTTCCAACTTTGGCATTCTGGTCTTCAACCACTAACAACTTGCTTGCATATTCTATCAATTCAGATTTAACTTGACTATAAAACTCATTAACCTTCTCTTCTTCTGCATCAGTGGTTGGATCATAAATTTGGATAACTATTGTATTAAAGGGTCGTCTGCAAAGTCTAACTGATATTATTTAGTCATTGACTGGATTGTACCTAAGTACTATCTTTGCTATATCCTTCCTGACTTTGAAAACAACACCATTCCTTCTTTATGTGTTGTGTCCTGCGCAGTAAACAGTATGATCTTCTGACTGAAAGTGTCCAGTTCCAGTCCATTTCAATTTGCTGATGCCTAAGATGTCAGTTTGTAGTCATTTCATTTTATCTTTCACTGTGTTGAGCTTGCCTGTGTTCATGCTTCTTACGTTCCATGTTCCTACTGTAATTCTATCTTTGCAGCTTTGGATTTTCTTTTCCTGTATGTCAGTGTCAGCAACTAGATGTCCCAAAGGCTTTAATTGAGCCACATCGTAAATACCATTAGTACTCCAAAAGATCTTTCGCTCTTCCTCAGTGGCATGTTGAGTGCCATCCGACTTGAGGAGCCCATCATCCAGCACTATATCATCAACCATTTTATATTTTCTATCCATGTGGTTTTTGTGATAAAATACAGAAATTGTCTTCTGCATGTAATAAGAAATTTAAGTGAAGTGATCATCTGCCTCTAGCATCTTCCTGTATCACTGCTGCCCAATATAGGTGCCTGCTTGCCTTAGCTGGGCAGTTGGGGTGACCTTCAGGCCTTGGGTGACCCTGCTGGATTTTCTTTTCCTGTATGTCAACATCAGCAACTAGATGTCCCAAAAGCTTTAATCTAGCCACATGATAAACACCATTAGTACTCCGAACTAATGGTGTTTATAATGTGGCATACATTCTCAGCATTATTTGCTCATCTGTTCCAGGAACAGCATACACACACACACTGCCACAATGAGGCATCTTTTTATTTTTATTCTTTCCAACCTAGCATACTGTTAGATTTTTTTTTTTAGATATGTTTATCCTGCCTTTATTATTTTTATAAATATCTCAAGTGGCAAACATACTTAATACTCCTTCTTCCTCCTATTTTCCCCACAACAACAACCCTGTGAAGTGAGTTGGGCTGACAGAGAGTGACTGGGCTGACAGAGAGTGACTGGCCCAAAGTCAGGGTCTGTTATCTGGCGATTAGCACAATAATTCCTTGAAAACTAAATAAAACAGGGCCAGATTTAGTAGCTATGAGGGAGAAGCTGGCAAACACAAGGTCAAGGTCAAAAATAGGCCAGATGTGATCAAGGATTACAGAGAAAAAGATTCCTGACAGATTCCTCAAACATCCCTATGGGAGATGCAGTTGGGCAGTCACTCAGAATATTGGCACAAGCTCCATTCTAAGCCTGCCTCCTTCTTGGTCATGTGACCTAGAATAAAGTGTATATAGCGTATCCTGTGCTTCCCAGGGTACACATATAGACAGCTGCAAGATATTACCTCGTTACATAGAATAACATTCAGGCACTTATTGCCATTGCTGGGAAGGGCTATAAGGATTTCCAGAGGCGTGTTTTTTCTATCTTGTTTAGAATGTTATCTTGCCTCTAGGAATGACCAATTGTAGTGAGATTGTATACGCACATTTAGACATTTGAGGTTAACTCATTATTTCCTCTGGAGTTATCTTTGTTCAGTGAACTGTGACCATATGCCTGAAGGACTGAAATTAATGCCCTTTTGTGGTCAGCAGTAAATCTATGAAAACTGCATAGATTGTGGCCAGCGAAGATCTCCCCTGTTCTAGTATAACAGTTGCTACTTCAGTAGCTGGGCATCTCCATCTGTCTCACAACTGCTATATTTTGCACATTCAAGATGCTGGAGGAAAAGAAAATTGAGGTATTTTATTGAATGAAGGTACAATCCTTAGCACACGTGATAGAGAAGATCCTGCTAGACTAATTAATCAGTCGAATTAAACTGTACTTTTTTGCTAATTTAAAAGTCCAGATCTAAAGACACATCTAAGGGCAGTCTGGCAGTCTGGCAATGTTTGTGTTTTCAAAAAGCCTATTTGAGATTCTGCAGATAACAGTGCGATCCTTAGCACCCCTATCTGTGTGTCAGTGCCATTGAACTGAGTAATATACATAAGATGGAATTGCAAATTGCAGATTTCTGGTTGGTACTATGGTAGAGGTATCATGAGGATTAAAATAGTACCTTCACTACAGCTCCACAGTGCTTTTCTCTGTCTCATCTCCTGATAAGTCTACCAGGAATAGGGCCATTTGAGCAGCTCATCATGGGTATCTGGTGATGAAAGCTAGTCCTTACCATATTTATTTTCTGTGTCTACCCCATCAATCTGTTGGCATTGAGTTGTAATTCCTAATAATAAATCAGTGTTCCCTTGCAAATTTCTATGCTGTACTATTTTATTTGTGGAAAACCAATACAACTTCTTGCAGATTTTTTTTTTCCTTTCAGTTGGTTGCTTTATTATCAGGGAAAAACTGCTGATGGACAGTGTGTGCTAGAAGAAGACCTCTATCCTGATCTTGCTTCCTGTGGCTGTTCAGCAACTAAAGTCAAGTCCCTTAAGCCTGTTGACCATGTAAGAACTTGCTAGCTAGCCATATTCCAAAAAGCCTTATATAATCCAAAATATGGTACCCTGAAAAGAATCTAGCCAAGTAATTGTGATTGTGGTTTGTAATTTTTTTATTTTAAAAGAGTTGAGGCATACATGTCCACAGATATTAGCAAGTAGTCAAGTTTATCCATCTAAATAAACTTTTTATTATATGAAAAGCAATCCAGTAAAGAATTTGCACAACTTGACGGAGACCTTACACTGAAATAACATCGATACATGGCCACATGGATGTGGTAAAACTTATAAAGCAATTACCTGACTGATGGATAGTTTACTTACAATATAAGAAATGTTAAGCAGTGGATCAACATGGACAGATTCCTAACATAAGCTAAACCGGGCATAACTATAGGAGAATTCCGTTTGTGACCAAAGTGGGGGTAATTAGAAATCAAGAACAATTTTAAATTTTATGGAGCATTTAGGCCCATAAAATAACCCTTCAAGGTAGATCAGACTAGGAATCCACTTCATGTAGGTCAATACTATTTTTATTGTAAAGCTATAGTAATAGAAACTTGCACGCCTGAATGCATTTCCCCTCTCCCTCCCTTTATCCTTGTGAGAACTAGGGAGGGGCTTGTCTGAGACATTTACTTAGGTTACATTCCTGCCTCAGGCTCAGTTCTCTTATCTCACCTTTGTCTTGGTAGCAGCTCTTCCTCCTGTCCCTCAAGGCCCTATGCTCATCCCCCTACAGTGGATGAATGGCAGCGTACTTACATAGGATACTGAATTATTCCTTCTTCTGATTTTATGTATGGCATGCCTGTTCCTTTTTAAATTGTTTTTATATCATGTCTCACAAAGCAGAAACTGTTCAAAATATAAAGATCTGGGCTTCAAAAATCTAGACTGTAGCAAAGAGATACAAACAACTTTCTAGGGGTTATCTGGATTTTTGCACCCCAGATCAGCAAAATCTGTTATGCAAATAGGAAGCAGCAACCCAGAGAAATAATTATCTAGATAAAAACCACTTATTTTCACCATGTAATACCTATCTCTGCAAAGAAGAATTTAAGAAGTTTTCTTTTTAAAAATTTCCAGCTTCTGGAACTTTCTTTCAGCTTTCCAACTTTCTGTTAGATTGTTTGGTAGCCTCTAGCATTTGTCTGTCACAACAAGAACAGCAAAATGTAGTAGAAATAGCTGCATGGCATTACAAAATTGAAGCATTAATTAGTATTACACACTTAGTTATTGTGTTTAATTCATTACAGTTGTAGACCAGAACAAATGTTATGTCATGTTCCACATTCAGTGGTAGCTGTTACAAAATGGATAACAGACATTACAGACTTAATCATGGTAATGGACAAGGGATAGGGGGGAGGTAATGTAAACACTTAAAGCAGTAATGGGAAGCACTTCATTTATTTCTGGGCTTTATGTAAATATTAAATGTTAGCCTTATTTGTTTAAGGAGTTGCCAAATTGGTTGTTTTGTGTATGTCTTTATCAAAAGATTTAAAAGGTAAACAAGAAAGTATAATAAACTCAACTATAATATATAATTAAATAATAGTATGTAATTATACTTAATATAGAGTTCATTTGTAGACAACAAAATTCAGTCGGTACTCAATATGATGACTGTCAGTTAACCTATTATAAGGAATTCTCCTTGTTTAACTATTTCTGTGAATATAATCAACTTTTATTTGGTTTGGCTTATCTACTATTGGTGTGAAGTTTTGGCTCCAGATATAGTTGGATTCCAGTTCCCACGAGTCTCTGCCATCATAGCTTTTTGTAAGAGTTGTATTTCAACATTTGAAGGATCACATATTCCCCACCATTAAATCTACTAGATAAGAGAGAATTTGCTTGGGGGATTGTTTCTTCTTTAATTCAATTGCCCTTTATTAAACAATGTAACTAATTAGGGCTTGCATATACTGAATGATTTCAGATGATTAGAGATACTTCAATGAATGAGGTAGCATATAAGTTGATAGATAAATAAATGATCACATAACAGAGGAAAAATTGAAAATTAAGCTAATATATCCATATTTTACATGTTTTCCTAAAATATAGGTCAGATCGCATCTTTGTCCCATTTTTGTATTACTTTAAAAAAGGCTGTAGAGATACATATACGAAGGTCCATTTTGTAGGATTTCAAGATCAGCAACTATAATCACTGTTGCTTTATCTATCCCTTATAGTAAATTGCCTAGACCCAATTGATTAGGTAGGTCAAAAATACCATTAAATAAGTAGTGGATTGGTGCTGATTCGGCTTTACCATGATTGATGCTAATTTGGGTCTATTGGTTAAGATTCCAGGAATATAATGAAGCCAGAGTTGTTTTCTAAATAACTGTCTCCAAACCAAGGAAAGGCTTCATCACATATAAGAGCCAAAGAGAAGAAAATCTATCTTAATAAATATGCACTAAGCAAGATAGCATCAGTCTTGTTCTTTCTTCCAGGTTTTTGCTGAGCCATTGATCAGCCTTTTTCCACTGGAGAATTGTGAAGGCAAAGAGCTACACTTGCAAGAAGCTATCAGTTCAATTCTGAATAAGGATTTTCACTTTCTTACTCAGTCAGTATGGGTAAGAAGTGGCCTGTAAGTATGACAATGATAATGTACTGAGAATTGTATTTATTTACTCACTATGGAGAAATCACTTACTCATATCACATATGTGGACATGTTTATCGAAGCATACAACAAATTGTATACCACTTCCTTCAAAGACTCTGTGGTTTACAATAACCATAACATATCAGCCTATGAAAAACTGTGGTCTTCGTAGTCCAGAACCTAACAGGCTGGAGCCCTACTCATTTCAGGTGATATCATGGTATGGGATAATTTACTGAGAAGGATCACTTCTAGCCCCCATTCACTTCACCTTTTTGGGTAGGGACCCTTAACATCCCCTTTCAGAAAGAATGCAAAGGACAGGCAGAATCTAAGCAGCAGAGATGGCCCTGTAAGTTTATATGGGCTAAAATATGTAGGGCTTTATAAGTTACATAGCATTTTGTTCTGGATCTAGAAACCTATTGGTAACCAACACAGTAGCTGTTATAAATCTACTCATGCTGGTTAGGAGCTGTGTCGCTGCATTTTGGACCAACTGTAGTTTCCATGTCTTCTTCAAAGGCAAACCCATTTGTGTTTTAGCCTCCAGATTATAGAGAACATCACACATCTGAGATATGAGGTATTTATTTAGACTCCAAGAATCTTCCTATTCATCTTTACCTGTTGCAAAGAACATGTTTTCTCTCTTTTTAAATCCAGTATTTGCTGGATTTAGCAAATCTTTTTCCTTAGGAAAAGAGATCCACCTTTTATTTTTTTTAAAAAAACTTTATTAGCCTATTAAACATGAATCAGGCATGCAAAGACAATACTTTATTGATAATAACTTTATTGATAGCAAAGCAAAACAGAGAAATGTATAGCAGCAAGATAATATTATCTTTTGATATGCTTGCTTAATAGAGTTATCCAAAACTCCCAATTCAGGAAGAGAACTTCCAGGGGACCTCCAGAATATTTTATTCCCTCTCTGAACCATGCTCTTTTGAGGCAGTTTGGCAGTTTTAGGAAGTAAATTCTCCAAACTACAAGCAGTTGATGTGTCGTGGATATGGACAAAATAGCCTGTTGGGGGGCAGACCAATCCTGGGAAAGTGTCCCTGAAACAACTTTGTCCAGAGGCGGGGACAGAACATTTCAGGCAACTCTGGAATGTTACATTGCCAAATCAGTGAATTTATACATTCCTATTACTTGGTTACTATTATCAGCTCTGCAGATAGGTAGAGATAGCTGAGCTGGTTGGGAATGTGTGAGCCCGTACTTAGAGAATGAACTCAGTTCTTCTTTAGCGCCCTTTGGGTTTTCCCATAAAATTCTTCCTGAAAATCATCATGTTTCCTTCTAAATTAATTTGTCTCAATTATACATTAATAAACAATGTTTAGGTCAGATCCACGTGTGCTTTTGATCAAACAGGTTTATTTTCTCATAGTAGCAGTGTTTCAAGCCAACCAAGATTTTCTCATTCCTTTACAATCACTACATCAGTAGATCCTCAGCATTCCAGTCACACTTCAGTGAGACTTCATCTATCCCTAAATGACATTGCTTCCCACTTGCCAATATTTTCTTGTTCTTTTGTCCTGAATATTTTCTCTTCTTGTCTGCTTCTTTTTTCCAAAGTTGTCTACTCTACTTAGATTTTGTGTTTACGTTCTATTATTTTTTCAAAACAACTCTCAACATACTATTTCAATATTTTACTAGTATGTGGGTTGTTTTAATGTATGGCAAATATGTATGCAATATACATATATAAATCATTTTGAATTCAAAAAATTATTCTGTGCTCTCAATCTAAATTGAGGTGCACCTTTTTGTATTTATCTTTTCATGAAATTTATACTATATGACCCATCATTGCACCAGATTTTCATATTTGATTTAAATTCTGTTTCTCTCCTATTGATATAAGCAACAAGAACAATGTTTGAAATCCAAGTTCTCTTACTTTGCAAAACATCAATATCAGATCTGTTTGGTTCACATTAAAACAAAAATTTTGACATTTTTGAAAAAAGTTTTATAGTGCTCTGTAAAATTGTTCTTTCTATTAATTTGTTTTATTAGGTAACGATCTATGACAATTAACGAATGGAATTCATATGAATAAATCATTTTCTGCATCAGGAATTATGTGCTATTTACTTATTTATTATTAAGATTGTTTTTATATATTTTAATTGATTTTATCTTTTCTGTAAACCACCCAGAGTCACTTTTTAATGAGACAGGCGGTGACAAATTTGATACACAAATAAAAATAAAAAAGACTAAAGTACTTGATTACAGAGATAATCTTTCCAGTAGAAGCAACTTCATGTAATTATATTTACCAAAAAACCTTTTGATACACACAAATAGTAAGATGTATATAAATGTAGGTATACTATATTAAGAAATAATAAAAGTAAAAAACAACGTGGAGTTGTTTTGTTTTGGTAGCATCTTCCAAGCAAGATGGAACAAGCAAAAATGTATAGTTAAATGGCAGCCTTATATCAAAGCATCTGACCTGAAAAGCAGGAAGTATGCAATCTTATTTTAGGATAATCTGAAGAATGTGCAATACAGTAAAACTCAGATTTGCAACTGCTGCAGTACCTATGGTGCAAAACTTTTTAACAGCTTAACTGGAAGCAGTAAAATAGATATGAACTTAGGCATTCTTACTGTGCCTTGAAGAAATTATGAGTTATAGAACCAGTGCAAAAAAAGTACCTGCCTGCCTTCATACTATAAGACATATATTTTAACTCACACCAGAGACTCTATGACACAAGACATATACAAATATGCTGAGTATATACTTAGATAGTCTCATACTGCTGTAAACAACCACTTTGCTTCAAAAACATTTAAAAGTATTAAGTGAATTATTGATTTGTCTTTTGCAACATGAGGCTCTTCATTTAACTAATTGTGACCATAGCCAAACCTTTAGATAGATTTAAAGAAAGCTAGTGCCTAGAATTTTCTAAATGATTTTCCTTAGAATTAAATAGGAAAGAAGTTCCAGTGTTAAATTGTACCTTTGCCACTACCTCTTCCCTCCCAACCCAAGTTAGGGAACCTTGTTAGAAAAACAGCTGTAGTAAAATAAACAACCAACTTATTAGATAATAATTTTACATTCTGTATGAATCTTTGGTATTGTACAGATTCATCTTTTCTTGTTTCATTATAACTGAAATTGCCATCAGTGAATTTTCCACAGCTTGTGCCCTCCAGATATGTCAGACTTCAATGTATGCCCAGATTTTGAAGTTTCAACCCATTTAGAATGCATTGTGTAGATTGTGGGCATAGGCTATAATATTTAAGTTGTTTTGTTTTCTGTTTCTATAACTCTTAGCATACTGTACTCAATGTATGTTCCATTTTGAAACAGATGGATTGCATATGAAGGCTGCAATTTCTTAGGGAAACAGTTTCTTCTTGAATCAAGGAAAATTTCAAACTGGACTCAGTTTAGTGGATGGAAAGCCATTGGCTCTCTTCGTCCCATAAAGCAGGTACTATAATAAAGGTGGTTCTTTTTCCTAAGGCTGAAATGGGCAATTTGAGGTTCTCAAATCAGAACCACTGATAACTGGTAATGTGAGTTCTTGCCATCTAGAAATATACACACAAATCTATCTATAGAGCTAACACTAGCACTTTACATACACTTGGAAGCATGAAATCAAAGAGAAAATGCTTCAATGTTGCTTTTCCCTGCTATTGTTTAGGAAATAGTACTGTGATTAAGCAAATACTGCACTAAAGTAGAGATTGATTGATGTTTAACAACCAGTTTGGTATCTGCCTCACAAATATTGTAGCAGTAAACCATAATTCTAGGTTTAAGCCAGCAAAATAGTTAAACCCCAAATATCACTCATTATACTCAATTTGGTATTTTTTCTTCAGAAATTTTAGAACAATTTTCAGAATTAAGAAACAATTCCTAACAGTCATGGAACCTGCCCTGTGGCTCAAATACCACTGAAACACTGGTACTAATCCAACACCTTAACCACTGCATCACACTAGCTCATGTACATGAAGTTTGAATACATATCTACTATCAGAGGAAAAGGTTCTGTTTATAAGGATTTTATCATATGGATTTATGCTTCTTCATGGAATATGAGTTAATTATGCTTTTCTATTTCAGCCAGCAGTGTATTTCAGAATAAAGAACAGATTCCAAGAAAAGTACTTGACAGTTGCTGGCAATTTAATGGATGGAAGAGTTACATCAGTATGTTTGTTCCCACAAAATGGCAAGAATACTCAGATCTGGCGTTACAGTTGTGGACTCATCAAGTCCAAGGTAGTTTGTTTATTTACCAAATTTATATAGCCGCCCATCTTACAAACATGATTGCCACTGCAATTGCAATGTCTTACACAAGCCTCAGCCTTCTGCTATAGAAATAGGGGGAATGACTGTAATTTACAGTAGACAAATTTAAGTAAGAGCAGGGTAATTAATCATTTTTCAGCTCATCCTCATCTACTAGCTTCTTACCTAGTACGTGTTTTAAACCCATGTTTCATTTCATTTACAATGCTTTATAACAAGTGTGGCTTTTAACTGCAGTTCTTTGGGTTAAAAATTGATCATATTTTAAAAGCAAATGAAAGAGCTCTTTAGAGAAAGTTTATAATAGCTTTCATGGAATAGCAAATTATTTGACTTTTCAGAGTTCAGAAATATTCATTCTGAATGTGACAATCACTGTAATGGATGTATTTCTAGGTTAGGAACTTCTCTAACATGTTGGTTTCATGTATTTTGCCAAATGAGAATTTGCTCATCTATAATTCCCTACCAGCATGTCAATCTGGAGTTGAAGGCATGTTTGGAGAAATTTCAAGAACCTATTACATATGTTTAGTTTTTATATATTCCAGGAATGAATGAATGAATGAATGAATGAATGAATGAATGAATGAATGAACACACACACACACACTCCTGAACCCCAAGATAAAATACATAGCTCACTGTCCTCTATTATTTCCTCATAACTACTCTGTGAGACAGGTTTTCCTGTGAGTGAGGTCCAAAGGGGGACTTAAACCTGATCTCTCCGCTCTTAGACCAGCATTTTAACCAATACACTAGTGGCTAATTATCTAGAATTAGTTCTACTATGCACAAAAACTCCACTGGCCCCAAAGGTAAATTAGGCAAATGATTAACTGTAACAGTTCTGTCTAAAATTATTGTCCTTACTGTAGATTGCCATGTAAGTGGAATACAGAGAAGGGGAAATTGTGTTTCTGAAAGTTACTATTTTTTTAATTTATGGCAAGGCCAGATAACCTTAATATGACTAGTCAAATGTAGACCACTGCCTATATAGCATACCTAACTCCAAGAATTAGTTTTAGAACTACTACTACCTTAATTGGAAGCTACATTTTATAGTATCATTTAGTACATATATGTCTGACAGAACTGTATACATAATTAAGCCCATTAAGGCAATAAGCAAATTCTATTTTTTTCTCCTACTCATCTAGGTCAATGATGCTTGCCTTGATGTCATTGGAGGCAGAGATATACCTGGAGCAAAAGTTGCACTGTGGGCAGAACATGGGAAAGCAAGACAGAAATGGACATTCAATAAGGATGGAACCATTATGTCCTATCTCAGTGATCAGCTTGTTCTTGACATCAAAGGTACTAGCATGCATATAATTAAGGTTTTGGCTACAGACTTATCTTGTCATTTACCTAGCTTTTAAAATAGTTTTAAATCAAGACTGAATACTCCAAAATAATTTATATACTGCAGAGTTTGCATCTGCTTCCAGAATAGGCATTTGAATACTCACCCATCTTGCCAATTACATGAGCAGATAAAATAATATTACTTTGCTGTCCATATACCAACAATGGTTGGAATATGTATTTGATTTTACACAATTGCAATTTATTTGCGAGGCCTTCCCTTTTGGAAAAATGGTTTGAATATTATTCCTGGATAGTAGTATATTTTGCAAAAGTGATCATTTTCTGCTTTGATTAGAGAAAATTGAAGTTTTGACTGAATCATATATGCAGTTTTTAATTCATTTTGGGGATAATTCATTTCAATATCCTAAATTTGGCTTTAAATTTACATCTGAACATGAGCAACTTCAGTTTAGGGATGAAATTGACTTGTGCTTCATAATATATCATCTTAACCCACCCAAACAGACTTGCATTTCACGGTAATTGCATTTGCAAAAGAAACTTTACATCAGCTACTTGTCAGAATGGGAAGATACTCAATGCAACTTAGAAAAGTCGGGAAAGATGTGATCCAAAAACAAAAAGAATGTCATTCAAATCCTGAAGTTCTGCAATAGTTAACTGATCTCTCTTGCCTACCCTCCTGTTTCTGAACTAGATTTTTTTTTCATTATAGCTGAAAAGTGATCATACAAATGATAATTTTGTTACATTTTAAGGTATAATATTTTATAGGACAAAGTAGGTAACCTAATCATTCTCAAACTTCTCTTTTAGGAGGAGATTACTATGACAGGAACCACATCATTGTAAATCAACTTAACATCAGCGAATGTACACAGAAATGGGACTTTGAAATATTATGAATGGATCTTCCTAAAATAAAATAATTTGAAAATATACATTAAAATGGTCTGAAAACACTTGAACAAACTACTGAAGACACATAGCACTGGTGTATGTTAGAGATCTGCCCAAATCTGCCAAGCAGAGAAACAGCTTATTTAATGTTAACGAAACTGTTAATTTCAATAGTATTGTTATTCATAAAATATTGCAGGATAATTTATATCAAACTTTCTTGACAAGTTTTGACTGTCTGACAACCAAAACTGAAAATGCAACTTTACAGAGATTATGCCTTCACAGAACTGTGATGCAATGAAATATTAGAAATTTGGTTGAGAGAATGGATGGAATTACTTGTCAATTCATTCTGTATTCCAATGTAATGGATTCTGTACATTTCGAATTAAAACAGAGTTACAGGCACATGTTAGAAACAACAAAGGAAAAGGCCAAAAACTTTAAGCGGCCTGTAATTGATCTTCTATCATTTATTTTTACGAATAGCCAGAATTGGTAAGGAGTTGGTGTTATGTGATTAACTCTGCCTAGTATTTTACCAAATTAAGTCAAACTTACACAGGGAAAGCCCTTTTTTCTTGGTGTGGATTCAGAAATTCTACAGTGTCATGGGGCAAGAGATGATAAAACACCTACTCCTATGTGTTTTATCACCT